CCCACCACCAGATGTTATTGACAATTTAGGCACGCATGTCCACAAGCTCACACTTGTCAAGAAATGGACCTTTTTCAACTGTTCTGCTAAATGCGAGAAGACTCCTGGATATTATTTTGGATTTAATGATGGGTATCCTTACCAATGTTATAAGTGTGATGTAAACTTCCATGTGGATTGTGTATGGCACCCAGAAGCACTAGAGCAATCAACAGAGGTAAACCATCCTTACCACTCCTTGCATCCTCTTAAGCTCCTCACGGATGGACCACCCGTCTATTCTGATGGAAAATGTCGTCTTTGCGGAAGAGGGGTTGATAAAGAATTTTTCTACCATTGTTCTACTTGTAACTTCACGTTGGATTGGCGTTGTATTGTGAACCCGTCACCAAAATCTGTTGTGGACTTGAAAGATCATGATCACCAACTCACCCTCCTTCCAAGACTCCTTTCTTTTACATGTAATGCTTGCGGGCTCAAGGGTGACCGAAGCCCTTACATGTGTGTTCAATGTGATTTCATGATCCATCGACATTGTCTTGGCCTTCCACATGTCATCAACATCAATCGCCATGATCACCGTGTTTCTCGTACTTTGCTTCTTGGAGTTGTTAATTCTGTGTGCGAAGTTTGTCGTGAGAAGGTGGATTGGACTTGTGGTGGGTTTTCTTGTTTGAGGTGTCCTGGCTATGTTGTTCACTCTAAATGTGCTACAAGAGGTGATGTGTGGAACGGAAAAGAACTCGAAGGAGTACCTGAAGAAGAAGAAGACATAGAACCATATCTGGTGATAGGTGACAATACAATACAACATTTCAGCCACAAAGAGCATTACCTAAGACTCCATGAGAGTGGTATTATGTATGAGGAGAATAAACGATGCAGCGCATGCACCCATCCCATCGGCCTCCAGTCCTTTTATAGCTGTATGGAATGTGATTTTTCTCTCCACCAGCATTGTGCTGAATGTCCAAAAAAGAAATGGCATGTGCGACACAATGAAAGACTCACTTTAGTTATTAACGAGGAGCTAGAAATCTTCAGTTGTCATGCTTGCAATAGACTATGCAATGGTTTCATGTACAAGCATGGAAAAAAGAAGTTAGATGTCTTGTGCGGTTCAATTTCTGAGACATTTGTCCATCCAAGTCATCACCACCATCCCTTATATTACATGCCAACAGAAGAATCAAAAACATGCAATGGTTGCAACAGAACGGCACATTATGTGTTCAGGTGCATTGAAGATCATTGTGGATTTGTATTGGGTTTCAAATGTGCCACTCTGCCACAAGTGGTGAAGCATATAGCTTATGATCATCCTCTCTCACTATGCTATGGCGAAGAAGAAGAAGAAGAAGAAGAAGAGGCAAGTGGTAAATACTGGTGTGACATTTGTGAGAAAGAAGCCAATCCAAAGGAATGGTTCTACACGTGTAAAGATCAACAAGCTACCTTGCATACACAGTGTGTGCTTGGAGACTTTACAGGACTCATGCCAAGAAGCATAGCAAAATTTGAGAACGAAAGGTATGAGGTGGTACTCAATAATAGTGCAACTCGTCCATTTTGCATTGAGTGTAAGTATCGTTGCATGGACCCTATCAACCTCAGGTTACTTGGAAGATCAGACACATACTTTTGCTCTCTGTATTGCTCATTTTTGTTTCTTTTTGTATAACTGTAGTTTAATAATGTATGCCATAGAGGCAAGATGTTTATTCGTGTAAGTTTCTTATATTCTTACTTGGACAAGTTTACTACCATTATAAGATGATCTCCCTAGTGTATTTATCTTATCCATAAGGTTTCACCATTTATTTGTGTCGTCTCTGCCTACTAAAACATGAAGAAAGATTTATCTATCTCTTCTATTTGGTAGAAAATTTGCAGTACTGAATCAGCAAGAATCCGCATGCTTATTCCTCAGATCCTCTGGTTGGTGTGAATATCAAACGTGAAGAGCAAGGTATGCGAAGAAGAGGCAGCAAATGAAGACTACAAGGTGGACTTGAATGTGGAAAAGAAGAAGAAGCAAAGCAGCTCCTCCTGTCAAGTTCTCAAATCATATCGAGCAACTTCAGCTTATTAACAGCGTAAGAAAACGTCTAGTTGGATCTCAAATCAAGCGTGTCACTGATGATAGTTTGATTTTCTGTGGAAAGTTATCGGTCATACACACTTTTCATCTCCCCAACACCATGTTCCCATTATGAGCTACACTTGGACTAGAACTCCAAGCTTTGCGTAAATGTTTCTTCGCCAATGGGAAAGTTATCTATCATACATAAGAAAAGCTCTCTAATTAAGTATTTTGGCATATACCATTCACGGTGGTGCTCAATAAGTATATCTCGTCCATTTTGCAGGCACTGCAAGTCAGCATTGCATATACGCTATCTTTTACTTTTTCGAATTGACGAATACGCTATCATCTTAAAGGTATATACTTTTTCTCTGTGAGCTGTACACACTTTGCCAGCTGTGATCATCAAACTTACTATTATTTAGGTGAAGTGGAGTGGGGAAGGATAGATCAATACATCCCCACAATGACACAATGTATGTGAAGCCAATACTTTTTCTTATTATTACAGCTGCTAAAAAAAAAAATCATTTTCATTACAAGTTCATCAAATAATTTTGCAATTTTAGTTTTCTTCAGAACCTTGCTGATTTCAAAAAGGAAAGACCACAGCAGTACCCTTCCTGCGTGTTGAAGTAGTCTCTTTGGGAGTCTATGTAGGCCCAGCTCAAAAATATTTTGGGCCCATGGCAAAATTTTTTTTTTACATATCCTTTATATATTAAAGGAGAAACATTTAAAAAATTGTAACTTCAATTTTGTAATAATTAAAAAAAGACCTCATGCTTAGGTGTCACTCAATTAGGTAGTCAATTACATTCAATTGAAAAATAAGTAGGTACATATTCGATTTTTATATGTCGCTAGATACATTCGTTGGTCAAATTATATGATATGATGATATGATATTTATGATAGAAGCATTTATGATTGTTCTCCTAGATATCATTAGTATTTTATTTTCTTTCCATAAATAAAATCTACGGAATTACCATAAATGACTAATATATATATGACACTTAATGATTCTAATAATAAATATTTGATAACAGTTTATATATCCTCTATCATTTTTTCTTTAATTTTATATTATCAAAATAAATTAAACAATCAAAATAGCTATAAAATTAAACTTTAGATTTTTTTCGTATAGGTTATATTTTGAATTTAAAAAATGAGAATAAATAACTAAACTATTAAAATTATTATGTTAAAATTAATGATCAATAGTTTAACATTTTTATTATAAAAAGATATTCATGATTTTAAAACCATATAAGTAAAAAGTATCATTAAATAATAAAACAAATATATATACAGATTAAACTATATACCATATAAGATTACATAAATATTTTAATTTCAAAATTTTCAATAAATTTTCAAGAACATTTATAAATTATAAACTTATTAAATATTTCACATTGAAATTTTTTGTTATCAATGATTTAAATATCTTAGTTCTTTTTAATTTTATATTTTTAAAC